TTGGACACGACCAGCTCTACAAGCGACGTCAGGTTGCTGAGCGGCTCTAGGGAGCCGCTGAAGTTGTTGTTTTGCAAAGCAAGATACTGCATGGACTTCCAGCCACCCAACTCAATCGGCAGGGGACCCGACAGCTACATAGACATCCATCCATGGAGAGGGAGAGGGAGATCATATGTATGGATTCAGTCATTGATGTCCGTGTGTCGGTATGAGTGTATGTCGGTATCTACCCTATTCCTTGCGAGGTACAGACCTCGTAGCTTAGACAGTTGTCCCAGCTCTACTGGTATGGGACCCGACAACTACACAGACATCCATGGAGAGGGAGATCATATGTATGGATTCAGTCATTGATGTCCGTGTGTCGGTATGAGTGTGTGTCGGTATCTACCCTGTTGTTTCCGAGGCTCAGTTGTCGTAGCTAAGAAAATTGTCCCAGCTCTGCTGGTATGGGGCCGCTAAAGTTATTATTTCCAAGATCAAGGACCTCCATGAACTTCCAGCCACCCAACTCAATCGGCAGAGGAACCGACAACTACACAGACATCCATGGAGAGGGAGATCATATATATGGATTCAGTCATTGATGTCCGTGTGTGTCGGTATGAGTGTGTGTCGGTATCTACCCTGTTGCTTCCGAGGTACAGTTCTCGTAGCTTAGACAGTTGTCCCAGCTCTGCTGGTATGGGGCCGCTAAAGTTGTTATTTCCAAGATCAAAGACCTCCATGAACTTCCTGCCACCCAACTCAATCGGCAGGGGACCCGACAACTACAGAGACATCCATGGACAGGGAGATCATATGTATGGATTCAGTCATTGATGTCCGTGTGTCGGTATGAGTGTGTGTCAGTATCTACCCTGTTCCTTGCGAGGTACAGTTCTCGTAGCTTAGACAGTTGTCCCAGCTCTGCTGGTATGGGGCCGCTAAAGTTGTTACTGGTCAAATAAAGGACCTCCATGGACTTCCAGCCACCCAACTCAATCGGCAGGGGACCCGACAACTACACAGACATCCATAGAGAGGGAGATCATATGTATGGATTCAGTCATTGATGTCCGTGTGTGTCGGTATGAGTGTGTGTCGGTACTACCCTGTTGCTTCCGAGGTACAGTCGTCGTAGCTTAGACAGTTGTCCCAGCTCTGCTGGTATGGGGCCGCTAAAGTTGTTATTTCCAAGATCAAGGACCTCCATGAACTTCCTGCCACCCAACTCAATCGGCAGGGGACCCGACAACTACACAGACATCCATGGACAGGGAGATCATATATATGGATTCAGTCATTGATGTCCGTGCGTCGGTATGAGTGTGCGTCGGTATCTACGCTGTTGTTTCTGAGGTTCAGTCGTCGTAGCTTAGACAGTTGTCCCAGCTCTGCTGGTATGTGGTTGCTAAAGTTGTTATTTCCCAGACCAAGGACCTCCATGGACTTCCAGCCACCCAACTCAATCGGCAGGGGACCCGACAACTATACAGACATCCATGGAGAGGGAGATCATATGTATGGATTTAGTTATTGATGTCCGTGTGTCGGTATGAGTGTGTGTCGGTATCTACCCTGTTGTTTTCGAGGTACAGTTCTCGTAGCTTAGACAGTTGTTCCAGCTCTACTGGTATGGGACCCGACAACTACGCAGACATCCATGGAGAGGGAGATCATATGTCTGGATTCAGTTATTGATGTCCGTGTGTCGGTATGAGCATATGTCGATATCTACGCTGTTGTTTTCGAGGCTCAGTTGTCGTAGCTTAGACAGTTGTCCCAGCTCTGCTGGTATGGGACCCGACAACTACACAGACATCCATGGAGAGGGAGATCATATATATGGATTCAGTCATTGATGTCCGTGCGTCGGTATGAGTGTGCGTCGGTATCTACGCTGTTGTTTCTGAGGCTCAGTTGTCGTAGCTTAGACAATTGTCCCAGCTCTGTTGGTATGGGACCCGACAACTACACAGACATCCATAGAGAGGGAGATCATATGTATGGATTCAGTCATTGATGTCCGTGTGTGTCGGTATGAGTGTGTATCGGTATCTACCCTGTTTCTTGCGAGGTACAGTTGTCGTAGCTTCGAAAGTTGTTCCAGCTCTGCTGGTATGAGACCCGACAACTACACAGACATCCATCCATAGAGAGGGAGATCATATGTATGGATTCAGTCATTGATGTCCATGTGTCGGTATGAGTGTGTGTCGGTATCTACCCTGTTGCTTCCGAGGCTCAGTCGTCGTAGCTTAGACAGTTGTCCCAGCTCTGCTGGTATGGGGCCGCTGAAGTTGTTATTGTACAGATCAAGGACCTCCATGGACTTCCAGCCACCCAACTCAATCGGCAGGCTCGTGAGGGAGGGCGGGATGGGCCTGCTGATTGAAGCCATGTTCATAATGTACAGGCCCTTCAGATAAGGCAGCTCGCCGATAGTGCTTGGAAGCGGGCCCTCAAAGCCGTCCTGCAAAATAACATACACACAAGCATGCGAATGGATGAGTGCACGTCTCAAATGCAGCTCACCACTTCAAACAGGTAGAAGGCGCGCAGAGAGGTCACTTTGGCGATGTCATCGCCCAAGCTCCCCTGCATAGCCAGCATTGCAGCCCAGAAACACACCACATGACGCAGCCGATAAAACACCTCCGAAAACACCAAAGGCGCCCCCCGCTGCTGCAGGATCTGCGGCACGTCCGATACGTCCATATCCTCGGGTCGCCCTGTCAGATTGATGATGTAGCCATCCTGCGGACCGCCGTCCGCGAGCGCCTCCCTCAGCCGCACACACGTGATGAACGGCACGACGCACAGGTTGTCCTCAAAGGTGGACTCGGTGCCATTGTCCACCAATCCAGCCTCGTAAGACCACGCAAACAGAGCCGCCGCATCCTCCTGACACAAATCACACCGCATGAGCTCCTCCATTTCGGTGTAGGGAAGAATGTTGTCGCCTCGCTGCATGTCGCCATTCGAGAGCTCTACATCCGCCTGGCGGAAGACCCGAGAGAGTTGCAGGAGCCTCAGCCGCCTGGGTCACGCCAGCCCGGAGGGAGGGGAGGAGATGCGGCCGTCTGATTGACGGCCTGGAGGGTACGCCGAAGGGGCGAAGACGCCACGAGCGACGAGCAGAGGGCAATAAGGACGACGGGCGGAAGAATCATCATCGGATGCGGAACGACACTCATCATCTGCAGACGCGTCTGATGCGATACGATGAGCGAACGCACCTCTCATTAGCAGATCTGCAGAAAGTCCCATTTCTCTCCTGCGAGCTAAGCTTGCAGATCTTCACTCTCGCAAGATTCTTCCCATTGCGGGCCACGTGCGGTGAGTCGTGCGGCTACTCACACCCAAACTGCGCGTCAGCTCTGCGTAGTTCACTCACTCGTGCGTCTGTGTGGCTATATGAAGCCAGGGGTCCAACGAGTGAGTGAGTCCTGGTCGGTCCGTCACGGATGAGACGGCTATCATGTAGCGCATCGAACACAAAGTCTGTGCGATTGTGGGCATCTGACAGACACACATATGTGTATGGGCATGATGTGTATGATGAAATAGACACGTGGATGGATGGCTGGATGGATGTATGCTTTTGTTGCTGTGTCGTCCGCTCGGGCATTGCTTTGTTGCTGTGGGTACATACAAACGCTCATCTGCTTGTCGCATGTGGTCGTTGGTCCGTCTGTCGGTCGGTCGGTCGGCATGTTTTCGTCGGTGAACGATTTGGCAATGTGTGGGGTGTTGTGTGTCTTCCTTTTCACACACTGCGGAAAAAGACAGCCTGAAAATGGCTGGCCGTTGTTGGGTGGAAGGGGGGAGGGGGTGGGTTGTATGCAGCTGTTAATGCTGTGTGTATGTCCAGGATGTGTGGATGGCTGGTACTCAGCTCACTCACTAACCGTCTAGTCTCTCTTTGTATGTGCATGTCACCCATCGCGCAATGCAATGGCTGCATACACACAAAACACGACAGACAGACAGACAGACAGACAGACAGACAGACAGACAGACAGACAGACACACAGGCAGACAGACAGACATGCCATACATGTGTACTTGTGTATGTAGGTGTATGTCTGTACGGTTCATCTGTTGCATCGAGTGTGTAGACGCATGGATGCATGCACGCGACATGCACGCGACAGTATCATGAATGATGGACGTATTCATGATGGCTACACAGCAGACAGTCAGACAGACGCGAGCGTAAAGGCATATATCAAACTTCATACATTTGCACTGTTCAAGAAGACAGAATCATTGAAGATGCGTGCAAATGAATCCAACCGTTCGCCATCCCCCAAATGAGCGCAGGGCAATGCCGCCGTTATCGTGCGGGTGATTTCAATGTATATGTTGGGTGGTGTCTCTCTGGACGGTCAGCATTTCGGTCGCTATGTGTGGAGAGACAGGTAGAGAGACTTTAGACACGCACATTTACTGGCGTGAGAAAGTACCAAACCAGAGTCACAAATATGTCCGTCCTGTTGACTGACACCTGAGGCAGGCCATCACATAAAGGAAAAATACATGAAGGATGGGAAAGAGAGCACTAGCGTCAAGGTGTCGTGTGCTATACAGGATGAGCCTTAGGGATGAGACGGACGACACGAATCGTGAGAGAGGGCGCAAGCGGTGCCGAGACGAACTGGTGGGCGAGTCGTGGAGCGAGGAAGCAACCATGGTGCATTCCTGTATTTGTGTGTGTGTGTGTGTGTGTGTGTGTATGTGCGCACATCCAAGATGACACCCAAGAACATGTTTCGGTCACATATGTGCGTACACTAATCCAGGTGCCTGAGTGAGGGGGTCACTGTCAAACTGCTCGAATGGATGGAGGGACAAACGCGCAAAATGAAACAGGTATGCGCACTGCCCGCCCGCCTTTTTTGGCTATGTGCGGCACAGAGGGAGGCCATGACGACGACATCATTGGGCGCATCTTCCTCTCCTCTCATTGGGCTCTGCTGTCTCTCTCTAGGTCGCAGGAAATCCGGCCAAAAACCCATGGAGAGACAATCGGTGGGTGCAGGGGGTGAATGGGTGTGTGTGTGGGTGATATGTGTTGTGTCTTTGCTGTGAATGCATGACTATTTCGATAGTGTTCAAGGTGTGCAATTCAATCTGTAAGTCGTTGAGTGAGTGCTATCGACCATCGACAAAGGCACAACTCGGCACAGCACACACAATGTAGGTCTGTCCACGCACACTAATCCAATCATCCTCACCCCTGCCAGTCAGCCATGGGCGTTATAAAGCCATACACACGCACACACGACCATACACACGCACAGGGAGCGATACCGATTGATGCAGGCAGGCAGGGGGTGATGCAGACACCCATTGTTGCATGCATGCAGGAAAGAACAATGATAACGCTAATATTCGATCCAGCTCGGGTCAGTCAGAGTTGCCTCCTTCGATCATCGTGGCCCCGCCCCCTCTAGTTGCACCTCCCATAACAAAACACTCACAAGATCGACGGGAGTATACACAATGGGGGGAAAGAGGCACGCACATCCACAGACACAATACGCACAATACCATATGGGCGCCGTAGTGATTGGTTCGCATCGACACGGGAATGGTATGGTGTAGCGAGCGGCACCGAGCTCTCAGGAGGGAGGCACGCACGTCAGAAAGAGGTTCACAAAAAAGAGAAGAGGCCGCTCGTTTGGGATGTCTGTCAGAAAAGGCCAAAAGAGGAACGAGATCCGGACCGACCGGGAAGAGCAAAAAGGAGAACGCACTGCCGGACAGCACAAATAAAGAAAGCCACACACACGCACGCAAGACAGACACTCATGCATGGCTCGCGGGGGTTGCATCATCACAATGAGCGATGCAGTCGACCCACAGCCGGACACCATACCACCACCGCATCACACACACTCACACTCACACTCACAGACACACATACACGGATGGAGAAAGCGAGAGAGAGACAGAGAGACAGAGAGAGAGACAGAGGGAGAGAGAGAGAACAGTGCAACAAACAGTACAGTCAAGACCGCAAAACTGTCCGAAGCCTTGTTGGCTTCATCATCCATCCGTCATCCATCGAGTGCACACATGGCGTGCTTACTTCACTGCAGCAGGGGAAGAGCTATTGCCTCAAGGTCAGTTCACTGAAGCGCTCGTCTCCCGCGATCGATCGATCACTCATGCACCAGACAGACAGACAGACAGACAGGCACCATACACACTTGTCTTCGCATTGCAAGCCTCCAATCTCCGCAAAGCCCTGCACCCCACACACAAGCAGCCAAAAGCAAGAGCGTCAGGTCCTCACAAAGAGCGTCACTATATATGACCGTCTCGAGCACTCACCTGCCGTCATTCTCATGCCCAAGACACCCCCACATGTCCACTCATTGCTGAGATACACATGGGTGAGTGAGTGTGCAGGTCAGTGTGTGTGTGGGTGGCTCACATGCGTCAAGTGAGAACGGGAGATTTTCTCGATGGTATTAGGGTCAGTAGTGACCCCGCATGATCGATATTGTGGTCTGGTTTCTTGTCTATCAGTCCTCTATCGGCCTGCAGGCGGCTGGCAAGGGTCACCCTACAGTCAGAAAAGTGAAATTTGTGCCAGGGTTGGTTGGTGCTCCTGCTGTGTGTGTGCTCCTGTCCTCTCTCTTCGCACCTGTGTGGCCACTGGACTGGTGCACTTGACTCATGTATTGGATGGACCGGGGCACACCCACAGATGGTGTGACGCACCTGCAGAGATGGGAGAGGGAGGGAGGGAGGGTCAGAAAGGCAATTAAAGCCAGCACACAGACAGACAGAAGAAAGCCGGCCCATAACGATTCGCTTACCGAGAGCAATCCGTTGACAGCCAAATGAATGAGCCTCCGGGTCTTCGCGCAACACGGCCATCTCTGTCTTCACACACAAACCGACAGATCACACAACACAGAGAGAAATGTCAGCTGCATGAGGAGCCTTCTGGCTGCGTGTGTGGCCTTCGTGTGAGTGAGCCTCTCTGCTGCTGATCTGTGCAGTTTGTGCGGCCTCCCTTTTTCGCACTTCTAAGCTCGCAGGGTTTGCCGATCGGTGTGCCGAGGTTTTTTCCCATTGCAGGTAGGCGGGGAGACCGCTGACGTGCTCATCCAAACCCTAATGACGCTATGTGGGGTTTGCGAATTTCGTGAATGCGCATGTGCAGCAGCACATGGCAGACGCACCACACATTATTCACACAGAGAGAATTCGATGAGTGTCCAACGCACGCAGGAGGGTGGGAAGCTGAGGAATGGCTGCTGGTGTCACAGGCGTCCTGTGCGCGGCGGTTGGGCGGCTGGTGTTGCGTGTGTGAAAAGTGGGTGTGCAGCACGGAGGGTACATATCGAGGTGCTGTGTGCGGTGAAGTGGTGAGAGATGCAACCTAGTGGAAAGGGCGAATGGCGAACCAATGGTGGTTCGCAGTTTACAGAACAACTTGAGATAAGGTCTAACTCTTAATACCCATGGCTGTAGGTCGCAGGAAAGTCGGCGAAAAACCCATGGACACAGAGAGAGAGGCAGAGACAACCGAAGAGTGCAGCTGGGGGGTGAGTGGGTGTACGGGGGCGGTGTATGTGATGCACACACGAGGGAGGCACACACACACGAACGAGGCACGCTCGGGCCTTCGGGCCCCGCCTTCGCACGCAAAGAGAGAGAGAGAAACAACCGTTGGGTGGGTGCAGGGTCGATGGGTGTGCGGGGGGTTGTTTGTGATGCATAAACACGCACACGAGACAGACAGACACTTAGGCCGGAACAACAGACACCACACATCGACCCATACACAGACAGACAGACGCACACAGCACACACACGCACACTTACACGTGTTGACACACATACATTCACACACACAGAGGTAAATCCATCACGTCAGCCATTCATCAAATCGCTGCCAAGACACCACGACGACATCAAATATCTGCCAGCCATTCAGCCAGCCAGCCAGCCAGCCAGCCATCGGTCGGTCCGGAAGCGCACACATATCGACCAGCGACATCAAGCGAGCGTAGCTAACGACACATACATATCACAGACGTGCATGTCGATGAGACAAAAAAGGGGCCTCAATCGAGGCAAGACTAAAAGCACGACCAAAAGCATAAAACTACACACCTTTCTTTGCGCTGGCTGCAGAACGCAAAGAAGCGTCTGACTGACTAACATGCATCTGCACACACATCCACTCGTCCACCCACCGATCGTTTGGGTCCCTCCCTGTCCGATTGACTGGGAGAGAACAGCACCAAATACCACACTTTGCCCATACAGACACACATAAGTGCCCAAGAGTGAGCCAAAATCATACGACCGATGGCTCTCCCTGACAATTATCACACAAACATGACTGATATCTTTTCTTGGCTTCACTCTCGTTTCCCGCTCGCCCTTCTTTGCTCACCTCGTGAGTATTCTTTGCAGTCGCCCCGATCTTTCGCCGCACAAACACGCTCCACGCAAAGGGCCCGACTCCAGATAGAACCGTCACAAGAGTGAAGAAGGCAGACACGATGAAGAGTATCGGATTAATAGCCTCCGTCGCCCACACAATTGTCAGCACCAAGATGGGCACTTCCAGCATGGAAGGGCCGCAATCCAGATGTGTTGGTATAGTGATGGAGAGCCGCGAATGGCATAGTGAATGAACAGCGATGCGACGTCCGCCAGCGATAAGCCCAAGATGACGAGGCCAACAGCTTGGTAGCCTTCCGCTTTTTCTCTCATCGTGGTGATCACGCCCTCATCATCTTCATCCCTCGGAATAGATCCAAGAATAGATACCCCTCGGTTCATCAATTCCACCCCCACCTCCGCATCAGTAATGAAGTCCACGGCCATCCCCACAACGGCCAGCAATCTGAGCAGATCAACACAGAGAACGCATCGAAGTGTACTTTCCTTGATTGCATCGTTCACTAACTTGTAGAGGCGAATGAAGGTGAGAAAGTCTACCCATTTGAGCCACCGCTTGATCACGAGCGGTAGAGGAAGGGCTCTGTTTCCCGAGCCTTGGCTATGCGCTCGGCGATCGCCGAGGGTCGCCACCCTGCCCGACGGCCGCAGCATGAGAGCCGGTCGTCATCGACGTCCAGGTCCCTCCCACCCGTCGATTTGGTCGATGCACGGATAACACGCGGCTCCGAGATGACAATGAAGAGGGTAAACTGTATGAGGACCGCACCAGTCAGCCACGCCAGTGTGCCGAAGCGCCAGCCTGGTTCGTTAGTCGTTTCGTAGAGAGGGCTGAGCTGCCGACGAGCCGAGAGATAGATGACAACGATGAGGAAAATCGAGAAATAGATGACGCATCCAACGATTGCTCTCGCACAGACTTCCCAATCCAGCGAGGACCATCAGAAAGGGCGGTGCCAAAATCAGAATCAATCCGAACGTTATCCCAAGCGCGGTTATCCCAAGCTCGCCGTCATAAAGGAAAGGGAAAATGTAGATGACGCCACCCCAGCACCAGAGTGCATAGATCACGATAAGGCCGATGATGAGAAGGAAATGCCTCAGAGGGTAGTCCGTCAGCCAAAAGGTCACACAGCCAATCCGCAGCACCAGAAAGCCCCACAGATCAGCCTCCTCAGGCGAAGCATCCTCGTCGTCAAGCGGAACCCGGCCGTCCATTGCAGGGGTGGAGACCGATGTCGAGACGGTGGTGGGGATATCTGAGAGCCGAGTGTCGCCCTCGCCATCTCCTTCAGCCTCCCCTTGGTGCTCCGATGACTCCGCTGGCTTTTCCGTTGGGACGTCCAGTTCAGAAGATGATTGTCTGAGGACGTCTGGGGGATCAGCCGTGGCGGGAGGAGCGACGCTCACGAACGCAGGCGGCTTCATGCCTGCCTCCACTCGGAGAGATCCGGGAGAGAATAAACGTGATCTTTACGAAGGTTGGCCGCTGCTGGTGATCCGCTGTGTAGTAAGTGAGCTCGGCAGCCACATCACGGCGGCTTCAAAGAGAGAGAGAGAGAGAAATGTCAGCTGAGAGGCAGTGAGAGCCCTTCTGCCTGCACGTGTTGGTGGCCTTCCTGTGTGCGTTTGTGAGCCTCTCTGCTGCTGATCTGTGAAGGCGGTGGCTTCCCTTGTCCCCTCCTCGAGGTCTAAGCTCGCAGGGTCTGGCGATCGCTGTGCGGGGGAACTTTTTCCATTGCAAATGCGTGTGGAGGCTGCTGCCATGCTCATCTGACCACCAAGGAGGCGTTGGGTTTGCGAAATCGGTGAATGCGGTTGGTGTGTAGCAGCATGTGGCAGACACACCCGCGCACGAGTCTCAGACAGACGGAACTCGGTGTGTGTTGGACGCAGGAGGGTGGGAAGCTGTGAGGTGGCTAGTGGTGTCACAGACATCACGTGTGCCGACTTTGAGCGGATGGCCTTGCGTGTGTGAGAAGTGGGGATGCATCACGGAGGGTATTGAGGTGCTCAGTGCGGTGAAGTAATATAGAGGGTGCAACCTTGTGGAAATGACGAATGGCACCCTATGTTAGCTGGCAGTTTACAGAACAGGTTAAGAGGAAGGCAAACACCTAATACTCGTGCCTACAGGTCCCAGGCAAGTCGGCCAAAAACCCATGTACGGAAACAGAGAGCCAGGGGGTGGATGCGTGTGTGGGGGGGTCGTGTTTGATGTGCACACACACCATACAGACGGACGGCGGATGGATGGATGCACCGCATACACGACTGAGACACGCACACAACACACACGTAACGACAGATGTCACATGTCGACGAGCAAAAGAGAAAAAGAAGGCCTCAAGCCAAGTTTCATGTCACGAGAGCTTAACGACACATACATATCACAGACGTGCATGTCAACGAGCCAAAAGAAAAGGCGCCTCAATCAGGGCAAGTCTAAGCAGGCGAAAGGCATGAAACTATACACCCTTCTTTGCGCCGGCTGCGAAACGCAAAAAAGCGTCTGACTGACATGCATGGATCTGCACACACACACGTACCCGCGTAGATCCGTACGCACAGCCACTTTGGTCCTGCGGCTGCCGGTGGAATCCTCCGATCGTTTGGGTCCCTCCCTGTCCGATTGACCGGGAGAAAAATATATAGCCAGCCTCTTGTCAATCCCATTAGCAGGAAACACCACACGTCCCCCTTACATACATACATAAGTGCCCAACAGCGTGCCATCCATCATACCACCGATGGCTCTCCCTATTATCACACACAAAGCAAGATGACGCCCTCCATGTTTTCCGTCCTCATCGCCCCTCTCCTCACCTTCTGAGTTCCGGTCGATAAGCCACCTCCCCAACCTCGGCTTGACAGCCATTGCCTCACTCGAACCTCGGCTGAGACGACCATACATAGGTGTAATGAGGCACCCATCCACCCACATCTCGTGGCCAGCCTGACAGGATCACGGCCGTCTCTCACGCGAAGCAACCCAGAAAGGTTGTCTGCAGTGATGCAGTGATTCACTGAATGAATTGAATGACAATGACCCATCATTGATTGATATCACATTGCTTGACTGACTGACAAGCACACACTCGTGTGACTCAACTGACGCCGTGTCATTGCAGAATGGCAAGGTGGTTCGTGCTTGCGTCGTTTGTGGGTTTCGCACAAGCACTCCACTGCAAGCGCGCATTCGGATCATTTGACTGATGCAAGAAGTCCGTTTTCAATAATTGTCCGTTCGACATAATAACGAATTCAGCTGTGTCAGTCGTATACAGTAAGTATCGGTTAAGCAATCACCGTATAAACCAATCATTTCCGTTAAGCAATCAGCCCAGCCCGATCACTCTGTACACAAGCAAAATGACTCGCATAAACCAATCACCTCACAAACAGACCCAAATCAGCCATCCAAACCAACCATTCATAGCTCAAAATGACCGCAAGACGATGGAGCACCCCACTGTGAAAGAGCGGACCGATGAAAGAGCGGTTCCATGGAGAAACACAGACATCTTGATGGGCATGCTCTGAGATGAATCATTCCAGAGGGTGAGTTTGCTTGGCGAGGTTGATCACGATGTAAAGAGAATCAATGACGCCCGAGGCAGCGAAGGCCCATTTGTGACACAGGAGGGACAATCGAGTCATCTGAGGCATCTCACGGCATTCATCCAGCCGAACACACGTTTGTGCGGCCCTGATGTGACCGGTCAGTTTCCCTCCTCCCCTTCCCTCCTCTCCCTTCACGCTCTCACCCACCCACCCACCCGTCGCACGAGCGATTTGAAGGTCATTTCGTGTGGTGCATTCACTGCTGCAGGCGGCGGCCGGCCAGGAACTTTGACCGATTTTGGCCGATGTATGGCATGGTTGCTGTCATGCCTGCTGTTCATGCCTTTTCCGTGTGTTGGCGACGAATCTTCTTGCAAAAAAGCTCGGATTGCATCACTTTGAGCGGTGTATATATATGTGGAGGTCAATGGTGAATCAGACACTCGGAGACACCGAAAGGCCTCGCAGCCGTCTGCAGGCTGATTGAATGAGTGAGAGAACGGATGGTTTTTCGTCATTTCAGAGGCATTTGAGCGGGAAAAAAAAAGGTCAATGCGATGGAGGGTGGCTCCGGTGAGTCATTCACGTCGAGAAACCCCGCAGAAAACAAGCAGAAGATAAACCAATCGATATCACTTGCTTGTCCGTATAAACCAATCAAACGTCTAAAGCAATCAGCCCTGTACTGATTGCTTTAAGCGATACTTACTGTAACGATCAAGGCAGACACAGACAAGGCACCAACCGAGAGAAGACGTGTGTGTGGCAGGCAAGGACAGAGAGACAAGGACTATACATACACCACGCACAGGTCTAGGCAGGCATTCACGCACCTATGAAACGGTCTGACAAACGTCAACCACACAGCCACACCGACTGGCATCAGCACACACACCACACACACCGCAGTGGCTTCTCTCTTCCTCTCTGTGTATGCGCACCATGATTCGACACATACACACACACAGCCACCGAAGCAAAACGCCCTTCCTATCCCAGTGCACCGACAGGAAGATACACCGACACACCGCGATCCCGTAACAGCTCCGCCACCGTCCATCCGCTCCCCGGCACGTTGATATCAGTCATCGCTTCTCCCCCCTGCCACATTGTGATGTCAGCCGGAAACACCGGCATTCCATCTTGCTCCCTTTCCCCACTCCAGTTGCCGTCCGGGAAGAGAGCACCGCTGTGGATTCTGTCGTGCCGCCATTCGCCACGAAACCACAACACAGGACCATTCCAGTGGTAGTATGCCTTGCCGTGGCCGTGCCGCATGCCGTTTCTCCATCCGCCCTTGTAGACGACTCTGTTGTCGCCACCATCTCGCAGCTCTCCCTCGCCGTGTGGTCTCCCATAGTATATGGCTCCAGAGTAATAGCCCAGCAACTCCCCCTGATCTCCCTTGAGTTCCATGCCGCCCACCTTCCCTTCTCGTCTGTAGGTCCTCTCTCCGTTGTGCCAGCTCCCCTCATAGATCAATTCGCCGCCTTGGCTGAACTCTGCCCCACGACCCGTTCGCTTGCCGCAAAACCAGGTGCCTGTGTAGATCAGCCGGCCGTCAACGAACTCATCTCCTTTGCCGTTCCGCTTTCCGTCTTTCCACCGGCCTCTGTATATGACACTCTCGCCTTGTAGCAGCTCCCCCTCGCCGTGTGGTTTGCCGTCGATTGTCTTCCCGTAGTAGCTACAGCACCGTTCCCACTGCATGCCCGTCGCCTCGCCATCTCCCACCTTCTCTCCGTCTGCCCACGCACCCTTGTAGGTCATCTTGTCATCAGTGAACTCCTTTCCCTGGCCATGCCTCGTGCCATCTTGCCACTCGCCCTCGTAGATCTTGGTCTCGCCATCCATCGCGTACAGCACTCCCGAGCCGTGAGGCAAGTCATCCACCATAGTGCCGCGATAGAGACGGCCCTGATGGGCTACCTCGCGGAGAGTCTTGTGATCATCTTGAGCCAGCCGTGTTCGCAGCTCTCGCAGCTCTTCCAGAGCAGCGTCTCGCTCACGTTTGTATGTATCCCTCTCGGCTTCGAGCTCAGCTATTCGTCTCTCATATTGCTGCCGCTCTGCACACACACACACCCCCATGAACATGGCAATGACGCAGACACGCATGTCCTCTTGCTGTGCGCGCACCTCGCCGTCGCCAGCTCCCCGGCCGCCTGGTGTCGCTTGAAGCAGCGGCATCAGACATTGCAAACGGGGCAACCTGAGAGCAGCAGCGCTGGAGCTGAAGAAGTGAGAGGGTGGCCGGTGCTGAACGGCTGAACTTGATGGCGCATTTCTGAGGGGGTGTGGTTGGTTGGTTATTGTGTGGTTGGTTGGTTGGTTATTGTGGTTGGTTGGTTATTGTGTTTAACGGGACTCGCGTCAGGCCGAGAAAAACGACAGGAAGCCGCCCATGTTCGTCAGCGTCGCTCCTCCTGCCACGGCTGATCCCCCAGACGTCCTCAGACAATCATCTTCTGAAGTGGACGTCCCGATGAAAAGGCCAGCGGAGTCCTCAGAGCACCAGCCGGAGGCTGAAGGAGATGGCAAAGGCGGCACTCGGCTCTCAGACATCCCCACCACTGTCTCGACATCGGTCTCCACCCCTGCAGTGGACGATGCTTCGCCTGAGGAGGCTGATCTGTGGGGCTTTCTGGTGCTGCGGACTGGCTGTGTGACCTTTGGCTGACGGACTACCCTCTGAGGCACTTTCTTCTCATCATCGGGAGATCCCTTCCACCCGTCGGGTTGGTCGATGCACGGAGAACAGCCAAAAGGTCACACAGCCAATCCGCAGCACCAGAAAGCCCCACAGATCAGCCTCCTCAGGCGAAGCATCCTCGTCGTCAAGCGGAACCCGGCCGTCCATTGCAGGGGTGGAGACCGATGTCGAGACGGTGGTGGGGATATCTGACAGCCGAGTGCCGCCCTCGCCATCTCCTTCAGCCTCCCCTTGGTGCTCCGATGACTCCGCTGGCTTTTTCATCGGGACGTCCAGTTCAGAAGATGATTGTCTGAGGACGTCTGGGGGATCAGCCGTGGCTGGAGGAGCGACGCTCACGAACGCAGGCGGCTTCATGCCTGCCTCCACTCGGAGAGATCCGGGAGAGAATAAACGTGATCTTTACGAAGGTTGGCCGCTGCTGGTGATCCGCTGTGTAGTAAGTGAGCTCGGCAGCCAAATCACGGCGGCTTCAAAGACAGAGAGAGAGAGAGAGAGAGAAATGTCAGCTGAGAGGCAGTGAGAGCCCTTCTGCCTGCACGTGTTGGTGGCCTTCCTGTGTGCGTTTGTGAGCCTCTCTGCTGCTGATCTGTGAAGGCGGTGTCTTCCCTTGTCCCCTCCTCGAGGTCTAAGCTCGCAAGGTCTGGCGATCGCTGTGCGGGGGAACTTTTTCCATTGCAAATGCGTGTGGAGGCTGCTGCCATGCTCATCTGACCACCAAGGAGGCGTTGGGTTTGCGAAATCGGTGAATGCGGTTGGTGTGTAGCAGCATGTGGCAGACACACCCGCGCACGAGTCTCAGACAGACGGAACTCGGTGTGTGTTGGACGCAGGAGGGTGGGAAGCTGTGAGGTGGCTAATGGTGTCACAGACATCACGTGTGCCGACTTTGAGCGGATGGCCTTGCGTGTGTGAGAAGTGGGGGATGCATCACGGAGGGTATTGAGGTGCTCAGTGCGATGAAGTGATATAGAGGGTGCAACCTTGTGGAAACGCCCAATGGCACCCTATGTTAGCTGGCAGTTTACAGAATAGGTTAAGGGGAAGGCAAACACCTAATACTCGTGCCTACAGGTCCCAGGCAAGTCGGCCAAAAACCCATGTACGGAAACAGAGAGCCAGGGGGTGGATGCGTGTGTGGGGGGGTCGTGTTTGATGTGCACACACACCATACAGACGGACGGCGGATGGATGGATGCACCGCATAC